AAAAGAAAAGTTCACCGAATTACGCACGCCGGTGCTGCCCCCTGAAGATTAAGTCGGCGTTAGGTCAAGACACCATACCCCCTCGCATGCCACCCTCAACACGATTTACAATCATCGAAACCAGATGCGCATGGACCAGCTTCCAAGGACGCACACCAATTGAGGCCCTTGTCAATCAAATTCGTGATCACCACTTTTACTTCATGATCAACAGTTCTGAAGGTCACATGACCTCATTCTTTTTCGCACACCCCCGTTCCCCTTGAATTGGTCAAACGATTCCCAACCACGATCCTCCTCGATTGTACATACAAGACAAACAAGTACAACATGCCCCTGCTTCATATCGTTGGAATGAATTCATGCAATCGGTCATTCTCGGTCGCTTTTTGTTTCCTCTCAGCTGAAAAGGAACCAAATTATACGTGGGCCCTGGAGCATCTCCATCTAGCGATGGATAAAGAATCCCCGTCAGTGATCGTCACCGACCATGAACAAGCGGTCATCAATGCGATCAAGAAAGTCTACCCAAACGCCAACCGTATCCTGTGCTCTTGGCACATTTGGAAGAACATTGAGAAGAATTGCCGGAAGCATTTCAAAAGCGAGGAAACATGGGAAACATTTGAATCGGCATGGAAGAAATTGAGGCTGTCTCCAACTTTGAAGGAGTTCGAGGAGAATTATGCCGAGCTCTCCAAATTGTGGAATCCCGAAACGGCCGCCTACTTGATCTCGGTTGTCCTTCCTCTGAAGGAGCATTTTGTCGCATACTTGATCGATCGTCACCCGCACTTTGGTAACCACATAACGTCTAGAGCTGAAAGTCTCCACGCATACCTGAAGCGATTCATCAACTCCTCAACCGGCTCCTTCTCAGCCGTCGTCAAGCAAATTAACCAGTCTCTCGAGAGCCAGCTCCACGAAAGATACATCGAATCTGCGCAACACCAATACAAACGACTGACGGGCCTGCCTCCTATGATTGCCAATCTTAACGGAATCATCTCCCACTTTGCCTTGAGGATAGTTTTTGCATTTCAAATGGCCAAGGCTCCGACCACAACATGTACAGGTAACTACTCGGCTCACATGGGTATTCCATGCATCCATCAAGTCCACAACGCCAAACTTGAGGGGAGCAAGTTTACTGCAGATGATTTCCATGCTCAGTGGCACGTCCAAACGGATCTAGATGTAAGTACCTAATTTTTTATCATCAAGAGGATCCAAACAAAACTCGCCCAATTGTTCTGAATAATTTTGTTCTTGACAATTTGACAGGTGGAACTCAGTGAAAACCAAAACGCCGCGGACACAACGCAGAAGAACCATGAAGACACATTCCTCAGCGATGTATTTCCAAAGTTCCAATCCCTTCAACCTGGCGAACAACACTTCATGCATTGCTAGGCGAATTTCACAAACTCCTTGACGGGACACATGCAACCATTGCTCTCGAGGAACCGAAGTTTGATAAGAACCACCGATTCAAGGGCCGACCCAAAGGCTCAAAACGGAAACACAAATCAACGTCTTCAACCAAGAGGGACCCATCTGGATTTGAGCACGTCAAAGGGCAGAAGAAGAAACGCGGCAGGCCAAAGAAGGTGGCCAAATTGGACGAGGGGCCCAAGCGCAAACCTGGGCGACCAAGGAAGAAACCGGCCAAAAAGGATGACACGGATGAGTCGGAGGTGCGCATTGCTTATATCCATCAGAAGATTTTTTCTGCTTCTGATTCATTTTTGAGTAGGCCATGGAAACAGACGAAGATAGTGAGGATGATGCTTCAGATGGAATTGGAGCGCTTTGTGAAAATATATTCACCGACGAGGAGCATTCAGAAGAAGAACCGAAGCCACCAACTGTCACAAAACCCTTACGAATTAGGCCAATCAAATTGGTCAAGCCAAAACCCAAACCCATCACTGAAGCAGATGAACCTGACGAAACTCCATTTGAACCTGACAATACTCCTTTGAGCGAGGCACTGACCTGGAGTACATACGAGAATGTTGAGATTGACCTTGTGAGTAACTCATCTACTTACTTCTTTTTCACATTGTTCATCCCCTCTGTTTCCCTCTTAAACTTTGGTTAGTATAAGCACAAAGACAGCATCAAGCCGGCTGGAGCAATTGCACATATCTTACACGTTCACGACGTCAAAGGCGATGGGAACTGTGGCTTTTGAGCGGTTGCGGTCAGCTTGGGCCGCAAGTCTGAGGAATGGGACTCCGTCCTCGAAGAAATGAAGAAGGAATTTGAGTCGAACAAGGCCTATTCAGACCGAAACTTCTTGGATAACGTATGGGGAGCAGGGGACAACCGAAAGGACATTGTTGATTCTCTTGCATGGAGAGACAAGGAACAGCAAGCCCCCCTCAAGTACTGGATGAAGTTCCCGGCCCATGGATATTTAATAGCTGATACGTACCAAAGACCGGTTATTTTATTATCGGAACAGATGCCTGCGACTTATCTTCCTCTTTCGCATACTCCAAACAACAACCCTCCCATCTGTCTGATCCTTTTACCTGACTATTCTCATTTCATCAGTTTCACTTTCAAGGCTGAAGTATGGCCATGCCCCAGGATCAATACATTTTGGAAACACTATGTCAGTGATGAAGCGCTGGGTTGGGAGGATTGGATTCAAGCCAATGTTGAATTGGGTCAAGAAGTCTTGTACCCACCTGTCAGAAGATCTTTGCGCTTCAAAAAGGCTCCTATTGATTTTGAATAATATTTTTCATTACTGTTCTCTGTACCTTCCTCTGATTACCTGCTATTGTCCCTCTTCTCAATTTAAAATCCAAACTACGCTCGTTTATGCCCACACTCTTTTGTAAATCCAAATTTGGCCTCACTAGAATATTATAGCATTTTTTACCTTTTCCCATTGATAAATTCAAGTTCGGAAGGGTGAATAACCACCAGGAACTTCCCACTGTGCTTGCATCAATAAAATGAGTGGGAGCAAGAATTAAAACACAAAGGAATCATTTTTATGAAAAATTAAGTTTACCATGAAATTCTACACCTTTTAAAGTGTAGGAAACAAATTTACAATGTCAAAAATTAATGAAAAACAAGCCGCTAAGAATTAATTGAAAAAATGAGTGGGAACGGAAATTACAATGCATAAAATTCATTTTTATGAAAAACAAATTTTACCATTGAATTCTAAACCTTTTAAAGTGTAGGAAACAAATTTACAATGTCAAAAAATAATGAAAAACAAGCCGCTAAGAATTAATTGAAAAAATGAGTGGGAACGGAAATTACAATGCATAAAATTCATTTTTATGAAAAATAAATTTTACCATTGAATTCTACACCTTTTAAAGTGTAGGAAACAGCTTTACAATGTCAAAAAATAATGAAAAACAAGCCGCTAACAATTAATTGAAAAAATGAGTGAGCAGAAAAAAAAAAAAATCAAAGTCATTTTTATGGAAAATGGACTTTACCATTAAATTCTACACCTTTCATAGTGTAGGAATAAATTTTAAAATTTCGAAAAAACTCGAAAAATAAGCCGTAAATAATTAATTAATAAAACCGCGTTTAAACGCGGAAACCGCGTGCGCTGCGGCGCATCAAAACCGCGTCAAAACGCGGAAAAACCGCGTTTTTTTATTAAGGCCCAAAAAAAATTGTGATAAATGCACAATTTTTTTTCCTTATGGCGATGCACCAAACACATGTGCTATAAATAAACTGAAGTAATTATTTCTGTTTATGACACTCCATTTTCACATGGGGTGTCATGATTTTTATTACACTATTTATCTCATCACACCGTGCGTCCAAACGGGGCTAGAGTTCTGATCCGGCAATATCCGCATAAAACCCAGAATTTCACCGGATCAAAATCATAAGCGGAAGATTTCGAAATAGTTTTGAAATCTTTTTTGCAACTTTTGTAAAAGTTTTGAACGTTTTACGAAAGCCGCTTCGAAATCACCAAGTCCATAGATTTCGGACATCGTTTCGAAGCAAAACCTTAAAAGCACCCCCGTAGTGTAATCCTTGTGACTTTTTTTTGGCTCGGGTATTCATTTTGATGGGAGCATTATGAATAAGTACAAAGCTGTAGCCCCTCGTGAGTTTCCGGTGACCCCTGCTGGCAATGCATGCCACTTTCTTCTGGCCAGGCCACTTGCTTCAAGTAAAACAGCAGCCGCCTCTCGAATAGGATGGACTCCACCCCACCACCACCGGTCTATCTGGTCCCGTTCGCACGTTCAGTGGTCGACCTGCTGACGATCTGGCCGGCCCTTCAACTCTCCTTCGAGCAATCGGCTTCCCACCAGTCGCAAGCTGCACAGGACTCGGCGCGGTCGGAGCTTGCGACTGAACTCGTAGGCGCTTTCCTTGACGCCCAGCCGGTCGCCGAAGAGTCGTCTGGCCAGGAAGCCTCGGCCGATCAGCCGCCGACACCTGAAAGCGAAGAGATCGAGGACTTTCTGCTCGGATGGGTTTTCGGAACTCTGGACGTGCGGATCGAGGATGAATCAGAGATCTCGATCACCCGCGACCTGCTCAACCTGTGGAGCGAATGGTCCGCCATGGCTAGCCCTGCCGACGAACACGCCGTCCGATCTAGTGGTCAAGTCATCCAACGGGTCGAACGTCTGGCGGCTGGACGACGGGCTAATCGGTCTCAGATCACCGCACAATTGGTCGACGAAGGTCATGTCAGCGGGGATGAAGAGAGCGAGGAGGAAGAGAGCATGAATATTGATGACCCATCCTCTCAACCGTCGGTCGCTCGACGCCATCCCAGCCCGACAATCGATGAAGACGGCTTTACACTTGTTACAAAGTCAACCCATCGGCATTAGATTCACAAAAAAAAACCCTCCCTTTCTCTTCACAAATATACTTCCACCAAGACCTCATCTTTGATTTCCCTTTTCCCTGGTATATTGGCTGAAACTCCGCCATATGCAAAAGAGTCGTATTCCCTAGTTCGCACGTAAGATGTACATACCTATTCAGAATGATAAAACAAAAAATTAAGTGTCATTTCCTGCACACTCTTCATTCTATAAGATCAGTCAGAGGGTTAATATTGGTCCCAGTGAGGAAGTTTCTGAATATCTTGGGGAGAATTAAGACAGCAATACACAATACATAACCACCCTACCTCAAATACAACCCCACTAAATCTACAGATAAGTCAAACTTATTGTTCTTCTTGCAAGTTTTGCTGGAAAATCAAAGGTCATCTTGGACATTCACACATAAACTATGAGGACATCACCTAAATGTGATTGTCATGCATCACTTGAATCAACTCATCCATCATGTGGGGCTTTATGATTATGAAAAAACACACCAATTCTTAACTCCAAGTGAATATGTTTCTTTTTAATTGAGAGCAATTTGGCAAATATTGAGCATATAAAGATCACTTTGTTCAACAAGAGTATTTCTAACAGTCTAGATTGAAAATTTTTGTTAGGGTCACTTTCCTCAAAGGATAAAGTGAGAACAGCAGTCCATATTCAATGGCATTTTTGTAGGATCAGTTATTCCAATGGAAAGAATATTTGTGCTCTGGGTAACATATCCCTACTTACCGTCACCCCAACAAGTTCTGACACATACAGCTTAAACACCTGGAGGAGTATCATTGCTCTGCACAGATGCTTATCTTTTCTCTCACATGCACATCCAGTCAGACCTGACTGTCTCAATACCAAGTGTGAACTTTGACCCCAGTCGGGATGTTTCCAGAATACTTTATTGTGAAGAAAGGGTCATCCGGATTTCATGAAGCTTCTGACAAGGTGGTAATCGAAGAGGTGTAACTCTAGAT